CGTTAAAATTCAAAATATATGGAATTCAAAGGGTTGTCTCGCAAAACGATAGCATTTTGTAGTACTGTGGAAGAAAGCAGCTTAGCCATTCAATTCAATAACCTAGGCTGGGTCAGAGCACATTCCGGCATCTAGTATTAGCTGTCGTGTAGACTTTTACTAGGAGACTTTTACTAGGATTTTCATTCGTAGCCTTCATTTACACAATCGTAAGAAAATCACAGCGAGTTGTAAAGAGTCGAAGAACGCGCCCGTTACCATCGGTTGTGTAGTGAGACAGCCCCAGCAATTCAGTCATAGCACTCTTAATAGCCCCTACGACCCTCTGCGACTCGCCAAGACAAAATCAAACTGGTTTGATTTTCTCACAGCGAGACGCAAGTCATAGGGGTGGGCAGTGAGCCAGATGTGTACTTGAGAGATAATATGGCCATTACTTTACTCTTAATAGCACAATACTAATTTGTTTACAGTATGTTTTAAAGGTGTTTTATATTTTTAACTGTTTTATTTTGTAAATTTGTTCTATATTTATAAAGAAGAATTATATTTTTGAAGATGTTTTACTTGTGGAAGTAAAAAATGCGTTACATGCTTATTCTCCATGTTGTTTACTTTCGTGCGGTGCCCCTCTTATTCCGGTGTGCTCCACGTTGATTGGCTGCTAAAATGAGGTGACCTCGCGGTACTTTCGCGGCACCATCCAAGATTTGGAACCATGATGAAAGTGTGGGAATCGGGTAATTAGTCACCCCCTGCGATTCCTAGTCGTATAATCCGACCCCAGCTAGGACAGAGAAGGCAGCGAGATTCAGCAACTGCAGTCGTTAAATCGGATATGCTCTCCGACTAGAAGACGTGTCGAGTCATGTAGTGCGACGCCGGCTTTCCAAAACCATTGAGAAAAGCACAAGGAAGTGTACCACGAAGAACACCGTCTCATCAGTTAAACAACATGATTACCTGCAACGGTCCCCATAAGCGCAGCATCCTTTCTGGAAGTACTTGCAAATCATGGCTGGTTTGCTGCTGGTGAGATCATGGGAGTATCGGCAGTTGTTCCCTTCTTTGCAAACCCCATGTATGAAATACCTAAACCACAGGAAGAAAGGGCACAATTCACACCTTGTCAAACGGCACATTTACTTCGAGGCAGTGATAACGTCTTGAAAGACGAAGAACGCCAAAACGAAAATCTAAAAAAAAAAATGTCCAAGGAAGAGAAGAAAATAAAAATTGTACTTCAGTTCCACTAGGAATGTTTTATTAAGGGCTGCTGAGTGGTGTGACCAGCACGGGTTCGAGCTCTCCCATCTAGACAACACAAGTTTGAGCCCGGGTCATGTCACTAGCCCACTGTGACTGGGATTCCCCACGCGCCGACGCACGACTGGCAGAAATAATCTCAGGAGGTAAGCAGCCACAGATCTTGCTCAACTGTGACAGACCTCTCCAGTCGGCCCTACGTCTCCTTTGCAGTTTGCAAGGTGTCAAATGGATGTCGGGGGCAATTTTATTCTCTCCTGCACGGGCCCACAATTGCTGGAGCACCGCTGAAGAGGCAAGTCCAAACTGAGACGGTATATAACGAAAAATGTTCAGCGATTATTAATATCTTAACCCAAACAAGCATTTCTTAGCAATGCTAAGGAAGACAATCTTGTGGCTAAGCCTATCTGTCACACAGAGTATTCCAAATGGTTAGTGGGATCTTAATTATTCAGATTAGGACTGACAGGGCAACCTTAATCAGTTTTTCATCTTATTGACTCACAGATAAAGCCGTATGAAACAATTACGTGACTTCAGCTGAAGAGGATGAGTTAAAAATAACAGATTGGGAATGGTTCAGACTTAAAATAATTTCACTTTTCTGACTGACCCTATTTTATTTTCTGACCCCAATTTCTTACTTCAAAAAGAATTTAAATTGCACACAGTGCACTGTGTTATCTGGAGAAAATACCACTTGTTGAAGTTAACCAACAAAGAAGAGGTTTATTTTCTCATTTTCAGTTAGCCTTTTCAGTTTCACAAAAAAAAAACTGCTTTGGAATTAAAGGTCTTGAATAGACTCAAAGGACAAAAATAAATTTCCTCAGTTGTTAGGATCGCCCAGTGATTTAACCTAAATTTGCATCATCCATAAATATGCATTTTCAAGAGCAAGTTTAAAATTCCTGACACATCTGATCCTTTCAGACAAAACTGCAAAAGTGTAATGCCTTCAAAACAGATTCATGCAAATATAAATCATTTAGCATATCAAATACTCTCCACAAATCGGAAAATGGGAGAATCCGATCCATTACTTTGGGTGGATTGCTGCAAAAAAGGTGTTAGATAGATACTAAGAAAGCCAAACATATGCTAATTATTGACATAAAAGGCTGGACAACCAGAGGCCAAAATGTAAAACACCCCCAACATTACTGTATACTGCCTAGGCTTTGTCTGATTTCTCAGAAATTTGTTTTGCATCCAAGCAGTCATGTTTTGCATAGAGAAACAAAAAAAAAACAGTCAAAAGAAACATTAAACATTTTATAAAATACATAATCATCACACCACTCTTTACAGGAATCAAGACATATGTCCAGAACTTGTATGGTTACTCCGCCCACAATCTCCCTACACCTCTATAATTGCACAATAACCCCTTCATTTCACACACAACTACTGACTGCACTTGCCTATAAGCAATACAAATTTATTGACTGAATGATTTGAATGTGGGATACAGTAAACCCTCATTTTATTAAGTCTGCATTGTGGGACTCTAAGATGTCTGTACGAAGGGATGAGTTGATCTTCTTCAATGCAGAATATGTGAAGGATCAGAGGAGATACTAACAGCTCATCTCCACATACTCCTAATGTAGGCAGTGTGAAAGGTCTGCTCAAGTGGCTGCCCCCCTATCTTAGAACTAGGGCTGGGCGATATGGCCAAAAACATTATCACAATAAAAATGTTCATCTCAGTCGATATCGATAATTATCACGATAAATGTCAAATCATTATTTCTTTCAAGTTTAAAGGAAGATTTTTTTCTCCTGGCTGAAAGTTGAAGAAACCAGACAGTTAATTGGTAAATTAAACAACTCTTTATTTGAAGAACACAACAACGGTCTGCAACACGCACGCGCACTTGCGCAGTATTTTGTATTTTTGCGCAAAGCATAAACATATCGAACATTTATCGAACTTTTGTTAAAATTATATCGAGGAAAATTATAATCACGATAATTATAACTTAGAACACATCCCCCGTCAGGACATCTTGGCCTTTTGTCACACAGGAAGACTGTTATACCAGACAGCTATTCCATACTGCATGACACTTCATACTAGAGAACTGAAAAGGGGACAGAATCTAACTATTAGCACCCATAGCCCAAAAACTGCAAAGTAGATAACCTTATTACAAATTAAGCCATGCAGTGCCTTCCAAGCCAGATTAGTATCTATGTATATTCCCAGATATTTATAGTATGTAACTTGCTTAATGAACCCATTATGAATTAAGACTGTGGAAGGATATCCATCCTGTTCAAGACCAAAGACCAACCATCTCTTCCCTTCTTAAAAAAACATTTAAAATCCAGAAATGCTGGTCACACCATGCAGCCAAATTAACTGTTCAGACATAGACTGGGGTCATTAGCACTCATCAAAGAAAGATAAGGTTGAAATCATCAGTATCTTTGATTAAGACAGGTTTTCACAGGAAGGAGTATAATATAGATTTTCCATACTACAGGAATAATGTACATGCCTACAGACATCTGGAAAATCGGTGCCCACGGTGGATCTACCTCTTTTGCACAGAACTTCAAATTAATTGCACTAATGTTACCAGGACCAGTTGCCTTACACACATTTGTACACCAAAATAAATATTTGCGATCTAGCCTACACTAAAGATAACCCTGTCAGAACTGTTATGTGAAAATTACTTAACAACACTAAAACATTTATCAGAGGTGTCTGCTTTATCGTACCTGGTAAAAAACAAACATTTAGTTTGTTTGAAAACTGAAGCTCAATCTCAGTTGCTAACAGTTCCCTGATTAAGGACATTCCCATCACTCACTTCATGCTGTCCCAGAGCTTTCTAGGGTTCTAACTTTAAATGCAGCTTAAAATGCTGCTTAAGTGCATGTTTTGCCTCTCTAAGTTCACTTTTTTTTCCATTTTGCATATGTGGACAAGGCAAAGGCTTGAATCGATTTTCGAGTATATTACTGGACTAAATCTGATATGTTGGAAAAGCATTAATATTCTAGATTTGGCTTTGAAGAATGGTGTCTGGGCCACCATTTAAGATTTCCTGATAAAACTGTCACTGTTAATGGCCACACTTGATGATCACTGACCATACTTAAATCAGATAAGCACACAATTCAATAACTGTAACAAGACATCCTTTCTGTTTTAGTCAAAAAACGTGTTGCTACAAGCACAATTTCTCTTATCATTTATAGGGCTACAGGAAAAATGCAGATACTTCTCTGATTCAGGGTGGATGGGAACACAGTCTAATCAACAGCTTAAATACTGAATGACCGTGATTTTAAATGCAGGATGCTAATACTTTTGTTTGCAACTAGCTATCCTAACTTCAGCTCTAACTGTACACGCCCATTTAACAATGTAATCAAAAAAAATTAAATAAGAAGCTGGTGAACAAAACCAGGGATAGTGACATGTATTTAAAGTCACCTGTGAAACACTCCACAGCCAAAATCTTTTCAGTGTGGAATAAATCTCTATTCCTATGCATTGAATGTCAGCTTCCCTAAGGTAGCCGAGCTAAAACATATTACACTAGCAATTTATTATTGCTGAAGTCAGGCCCTCTTGACATGCATTTTTACAACAAAGCAATTATAATTATTGACAACTCTGCATAGGAGCTGTACTGTGCTGTGATAGGAATGGCTGATGAAGGACTCTGGGCAGGATCATATAGCTAACAGTGCAGGTCCACACAAATACAGGTGGTCCTTCATTCTCTTTGCATTTGCATAGTGCTCGTCAGCCCAAAGGATCCACTTGCTTCATCCACTACTGCAATGGAGCACCCGTGTGGGTGAAACAGCCAAAACACACAGCAGACCCACTACACACCAGATGATAGGGGAAAGGAAGAGATGACGTCAGAAGTATTAATGAGGGCATTGGGAAGGGCAGATTGTGCAAATCCAAACTGGAAAATATTCAAGACACCAGGGTCAACATCCTTACAACCAATGCAATAGGATTTTTTAATGGCCAAGCAGTTGAAGCTGTGGTCCTCATAGGACAATATACATTCTAGAGAGGTGGGAAGAACCAATTCAGAGCTGAAACTCCATTTTCCTTAAAAATCTCTAACCGGGCCAGATCCACTATTCTCGAGATCAGCTGAAAGAAGGCTACAAAGTGCTAACACGGAAAAGACAGAATTTGTTTTTGCATTAAATATCACTTGTTTTCCTCACACAACTGGATGTATTCCCTCAGGATTATATAGTGAAACAAATCCAACATTATCCATATCCACGAAGCAAAATTTTGAAAACGCTAATACCAAGTAATTGCCTCGCTCCAGAAAAATCCCAAAAGCAAATAGAAAATGCTGTAACTCATTATGAAGCAAATTCATTAACAAGCTAGAGTGCAATTAGGACAATCTGCAAAAAGACCAACAAATCCAGTCACTGAGGTAGACCTCCATCCTTAAAACTAGAACATGATTTCAACATGAAAAAAACTACTCATAATTGACAAAATACCTATATTTACACACAGAAACAACAACCATAATTTAAACACTGGAATTCCATCATTAAAGCTAGATATATTGTTCCAATGCAAATTAATTTAGCTTCAGCTTGTTTAAACCTAGTCGGTAAAGCTACACACTGGAGTCTTATTTTCCTCTCTTGGCAGATTATTATCATCACCTACCCATTACAGAGCACTGTGAAATATTACGGTAGGTCAATAACTTTATGGAACAAAGTGATAAAATTCAGCACAGGAACCTGGTTCATGGCTAATCTGAAAATGGATGTATTAACTTTACATTAAATATTTTGCTTGCTTTTTTTCCTAAAACGGCAGAGCAACATGAGAAATCAGGCTACCCAAATAAATAAAAAAAACAGCTTTTCCTGAAAATGACCATGAGGCCATAATCACGGTCTTGGTTACAAGAAGTTTCTCAACTGCTTTTCTACAGCAAGGAATCACGGAGATCCATGAGCAATCGACCAATGTCCAAACACGGGTCTCCTGAAAGCTCGGGGCTCAAGATACTTTCTGTCGATGCCAATTTAATCGGCAGCATTCAGAAATCTCCTTACATTAAAATGGTGAGGCAATTTCTCACTTTCTGCGATAGGCTGAGTAGTGAGGCTGGTAAATACATAATGGGTGCTGCTCTGGAACGGTGGATGAAGTCCATTCCCTCCTAAATGTAAAACAGTTCGAGATCCTTCACGAATAAAAGCACTATATAAATACAAATAACCTATTATTTGTGTTAAAGAATCACCTTCATGTGACAAAATGTAAAGCCTAAGTAACCCACTGAAGCTTGACTAAAGGGGCAATGTAAAGCTATGCTTTGTTCAATGTCTTAAGAAGAAATGACTCAAGTGTCAAGAAAGATAAAACTGAAAAGGTGAAAGAATTAATACTTAGGTCCCCCCACAGTGATTAGCACCATTAAGTTTTTTGTCCTTAAGGAGCTATGGCTACATATTTAAAATATAAATTTTGCCAAATACATCCATCTTTGTAACTGTGGGCATACAGTGTTTTCAAGTCCTTTATCCATAACGGCTCACCTTATAAATGAACTACTTACACAATATGCTCAAAACCTAAGGTTTTCAAAACAAAGCACCTGGGTTTTGTTCTCCATAACATTCACACTGACCAGATTAATCGGTTAAAGAAACCATCGCGGCAAAGATTAGCTGTGTACAAAACTGCTAAATTAGATAATGCAATTAGCTTGTTATTATCCTTTTCTTTTTTTAGGACTAAACGCGATACATTTTTACTGTATTCCCAGCTAGTACAAAGTCAAGCCAGTATTTCCTGATCGCTATAAACAACTGACCCTGTCCACCTTCCCAATGCGATACACAAAAAAAGGATGTAATTAAATAATCTCTGTCGGCTTTGAGCTTTCCTGTACTTCTTAATGTACAGCCAAGTGAAGAATCATGTTTTGCATTTCGTATCACATTTGCCTTCGGTAGACCAAGAAAACGCAATATCATTAACCGATTCTGCTGTCTTCATGAAGTATTCTTGCAAAATGTAGTCGACAGCCTTGAAAACTGTAGCCTATTGTTTTGCTAACACATACCCTCTCTGTTTACTTGCAAGTGCGGGAGACAGCCGTTACGAGTCACAAACAATGAACACTACTCAAACGTATCGCTGTCATCCGTGTTTTGCTAAAGTTTTTGATGCCACTTATCCTGCACTCCGTAAAACACATACAATTCTATCACAATTTTTCATTATTTAGTTTAATTCACCTGCAGATGACGTGCTTCGTCCAGCCTCCTCCTGTTATTGCTGGAGCCGCTGTTGATGCCGCCGCTGCCTCCGCCATTACTGTTTATCTTGAAGCTCTGAAGCCGGATCTTCCGGCGAGCCGCGCTCACGATCGGAAGTCTTCGGAAAGCCGACTGCCGGGAGTCAGATCCTCCGATCTCAGCTTCGGGAGAGGAGGTGGAGCTCCGGGGGGCTCTCGGAGAATGCATGATACTTGTGCAGTCCAGAGAAACACGAACAAAAAAACGATAAGGAACTGTTAGTTGTACAAAAAAAACACCAAAGCCACACTGTTTAGCCCACGCTGCAAAGCGGCTAATAGTTAACCTATTAACAGACAGTGATAGATATAACTGTAGGAAAAAGTAGCAGGTACAAGAATTTTGTACTTTATCGTTATTCTTTTTCTTTGTTTATTGTTGTTAAACTGTAGTTGTCAAAGGGTGACAAAGGTGGGTCTAAGACAGTTTGGGGGATATGTTTAGTTTTTGCATATCTTACCCAGTGCTTTTGGCAGATAATGCTGTGTGTGTTTTACTCTATGGTGCCTGATTCCCATTTCCTTTGTGGCCTTCCTGCCCTGTAGCACAAAATGCATTGCAGGTGAGAATGCTCACTGATTGAGTACCGCTGTTTGACTAGACACAGTAGACTGGACCTGGAGCAGAAGACCTGATAGGAAAGACACAGTAGACTGGACCTGGAGCAGAAGACCTGATAGGAAAGACAAACGACAAGTGTAAGAGGGACAGTGACCCACGACACCTAGCTATCTGCACACAATCAA